AAACCACTGAGCTAAATCCCCAGCCAAGATGATCCTCCTTTAGCCTCCCAAGTGCTGGGATGACAGGCATGCACCACCACGCCCGGCCTGCTTTGTGTATTTTTCAACAGTTGGGGGAAAAAATGGAAAAAGCAGTTCTATTTTGTGACATGTTATATGGATGAGAAACTCCTCTTCATCGTGCACAGTGGAAGTGAAAGATCAAGGGAGTGGAGGACACAGCCCCCTCCTGTAGCTAAGGAGCAGTTGCTATGGAGACCATTTGGGCCAGAAAGCTGTCAATGTTCACAGGCTGGTCCTTTAAAGCAAAGGTTTGGCAAACCTAGTGGTTTCTGGAGGCTCCCTTGCTCCGATGCCTGTGGGGCCGGCTGCTTTAGCCCCATCGGCCTCCCTGTTCTTCTCTACTGGCTGGCAGGGCTGATGGGGTCAGACTCATCTCATCTGCTCAGAGTCCCTCTCCTCATACCTTGGGGCTACCCTGCTTGTACTGTTACCCTGGAAAACAGAACATGGCCCTGGGGCCACTGGGCCAGGCTGTCCTGAGCACTGCAGGTGCTGAGCAGTCCCTGGCCTCCGCCTGCCTCATACCAGTTGCGGTGCATGCTCAGGGTGACAAGCCACAGATGTCCCCAGACATGGTCCCATGTTGGAGTGGGGCAGTATTGCTGCTGGTTGGGAGCTTTTTTTTTTCCTTTCCCTGGTGCTGAGGATGGAACCCAGGGCCTTCACATTGAGCTCCATCCCCAGGCCCTTTTACTTTTTGATGTTGGATTTTGTGTGTGCATGTGCATGTGCGTGTGCGTGTTTTTGGTACCGGGGATCAAACTCGGGTCCTTGTGCTGGTGCAGCCGGCGGTGAAACCACTGAGCTAAATCCCCAGCCATGTGTGTGTGTTTTGAGACAGAGTCTCACTCTTATCCAGGCTGGCCTTGAACTCACTCTGTAGCCCAGACTGGCCTGGAACTTGCAGCCATCCTCCTGCCTTGGGTATGGGAGATTTGAACCAGGGCCTTCACACTGAGCTACATAACCAGCCCCTGTTAAAAATTTCTGATGATGGGCCAGGAATTTAGCTCAGTGGTTCTGGCGCCTGCCACACAAGTGCAAGGTCCCGAGTTTGATCTCTGGTATCAAAAAAAAAAATACTAGTATTATCATCATTATTTTGAGGCGGGGGTCTCGCTGAGTTGCTAGGTTGCCCTGGGCCATGGGAGTTGGGGGGAACCTCTTAAACCTCTTAAATGGGAATTTGGATCCCATCACTGCCCCATTCGTTTGGAACACTGCAGGCTTCCAGGCTTGGGGGATATCTGAGCCTTGTCTTGTCCCATAGAGTGTTGTAAGTTCTGGCTTGTGGTGGGCCCACCAACCTGTTTCCTGTGCCCCAGCATTCTGGATTTTACAGCTCCTTCTCCCCATCGATTTCAGGATCTCAGTCTCTGGTCCTCCAAGATGAAAGAGGCTGGGGCAGGGCACAGATAAGCTGGTGGAAGCAGGCGGTACACATGAGATCGGAACAGGGTGGGGGCTGGGGTGGTGGCACAGGAATTGCTTCAGTGTATGGGGAGGGCGTCTCTTTTAGTTTTTGAGACAGGGTGTTGCTTAGTAAGTTGCCCAGGCTGTGTGGAACATGTGACCCTCCTGCCTCAGCCTCCAGAGCATCCTGAGGGTATCACTGACGAGTGTCCTAATGGGATCATTTCCCCAGCACAGGTTCACACTACCTGCTGTTTTACTGTGACTTTTTCCTGTTGGCTCACTCCATTTTCCGCTGCTGGTTGCATATTATTCCAGTGTATGAGTCACCCCCATCCTTTCTCTCTGGGCCAGGTCTGGTGTCCCATCTGGTTTGTGGTGTCTGGACCGAGGCCTGAAGTCGTGACTGTGGGGATCATGGGAAGGGGGTGGCTCTTGGGGAGGACTGGGGGCGTGTCAGGCATCTTTCCAGCCACCACAGGGGGAGAGAGGGTCGAGGTGAGCCTGAGGGGCCCAGCAGCACCTCTCACAGGGGGTTGTCTGCACCCAGCCTGCGCAGCATCGGGAGTCAAGGGAGGACACATGCCATGGGGTGGTTTTTTTTTTTTTCTTTTGGTACGGGGGATGAAACTCAGGACCTTGTGCTTTCGAGGCAGGCGCGGTGCCACTGAGCTAAATCCCTGGCCCAATGGGTTATTTTTAAATGTCACAGTCATTGTCAGGATCCCTTAGTGACAAATGGAAATCTCGTTGGCAGTAAGAACGGGACAGGATTGGTTTATGGGTCCGGGGCTGGATGCTGGGCGCCTATGGGTGCCTGGGTCCTGGGCTGAGCCCCACTGCAGCATAGAGGAGGATGGGAGGTGAGGTTGAGTCCCCCTAACCACTACCTTGCCGTCTTTGACTCCACCCAGGCATTGGCCTGGCACATGGTGGCCCCCCAGCCATCGTCCTGAACCCCAACACAGACAGACTCTTCCCAGCAGGAGTCCAGAGCTATGAGGACAGGTCTGGTCACTCTCGGCTGGGAGGTTTGGTTCTCCAGTCTGGTCACGTCCCTCCCATTCCTTCCAGGGGCTAGGGCTGAGCATGAACAAGGGAGCCAACCAGGGACAAGGGGGCCTCTGAGCAGGAGCCGAGCACCTGGCTGGCAGGGACAGGTGCTTCCCAGGCTTTGGAGACAGTGGTGCTTGGGTGCAAAATTTTTTCCCCGTTTGTGGGGTTCGAACCCAGGGCATTGGCATTTGAACCATATCCCTGCCCCTACCTTTTTTTTTTTTGAGACAGGGTCTCACTATGTCATTCAGACTGCCGTTGAACTCAGTATGGAGCCTAGGCTGGCCTCGAACTTATGTTGTTCCTCCTGAATGCTGGGATGATGGTGATCCATGCTTCCATTTTTATTTTGAGACATGGTCGGGTTCGAACTTGGAATCCTGCCGCAGCCTCCTGAGTGCAGGGATTCCAGGCAGGGGTGGGACAGCTTGCTCCCAGGGTTGATTCTTGCTTGTCCCAGATGTCTGTGTGGCCTTGGGTGGCCACTTCTCTTTAAAGTCTGCAGTGGGGATACCGTGACGCCTGCCTTGGAGGCTCATGTCAGATGACAGGAAGGGGCTTGGAGAGAAGATGGTGGCAGTGTGGAGAGGGCGCAGGCTCAGCTGTCCTCTTTCACACCTCCAGCTGCTGGGATGGGCCGCAGGTCTCAGAGGTGGGAAGGAGCCTGGGCTCCATCTCAGCAGAGCTTTGCATCCCCTGAGCCTGATTATTCCACTGCCCCGAATCACCGTGGTGACAGGTACCATGAGCGGCGCAGAGCTCTGCGGATCCGCAGGATCTGACGTGTGGCCGGGCGCTGGCCGGGCGCGTGGGCGCACTTATCCTGCGCAGGCGCACAGGCTTCTTTCTTCCCAGCTGGGATTTGCACCGCGGCCTCGGGGAGGCAATCAGTCTGTGGGTCGTGAGTTGCTGGGCTTCCACTCGTGCTGCTGCCCCACGTGTGTCATTATTAGCTGAGGCCCCCTCGCAGATGGGGGAGGGCACGCAGTAGCATTGGACACACACTCGGTCCTGGGAGCAGAATCCAAGGTCAAGGTGTGGGCAGGGCCTCCGAGGCCTCTGCTGGGCTGTAAATGGCTGCTTCTCCCTGTGTCATTTCCTTTTAAAAGGCTGTCAGATTAGATGGGGCCCATGCCGAGAGCCTTATTTTATGTTGCTGTGAGCTCTGTCTTCCCCCTCTTTGTTGTTCTTTTTCTAATTTTATTTTTTAGTATTGGACCCAGGGTTCAGGGTTGAACCCAGGGCCTTCATGCTACAGTACATCGCCAGCTTTTTTTTTTTTTGGAGACAAGGTCTCACTAAGTTACTAAATTGTCCAGGCTGGACTCACACTTGCGATGCTCCTGCCTCCTGGAGTGCTGGGGTCCCATGAGGGAGCCACTGCAGCTGGCTCCCTCTTTGTTCTCTAGTTCTGCTTGAAGTAAGGCTGGAGTAATCGAATTCACATGGCTCAACATTTGATGTCATCACTGGGTCCTGAGGGAGGTGACAGGAAGTAGAGGGGAGGGATAAAGGTGTATTTCTCAGAGTGGGAGCCTGAGCAAAGCTGTTCCTCTTGAGGCTCGGGGGAGAACCAGGTCCCCCTCCCGGTTCCTGTAGGCACCCGTCTGCAGAGTGGCGGTGTGGTGTCTTCAGCCCCTCTCAGCCTCTCATGCCCTCTTGTTCCCATTGTGGCTGTGAGGTGCAGAATGTGTCAGTGACAGGTGGTGCTGCAGACCGAGTGCTCTGGGCCCTCTGGTTGCTCCCTGCACAGCCCCTCTCCCTGCTGTCCCCTCTCAGGTTTTCAAGCCTGGCCTGGCCTGGCCTCTGGCCACTTTTAAAAATCCCGCTTGTATCTGCTGCCTGGCTCGAAAGCGCAAGGTCCTGAGTTCGATCCCTGGTATCAAAAAAAAAATCCCGCTTGTCCCCAAGGCCTGTCCTCCACCTTCCTCTCCAGTGCCTTCTGGGTTTCACAGCCTTTCTCCTGACCACCTGGTGCCACCACCTGCCTAGAATTTGCCTCTTGGAACTTGCGCTCCATCCGGTGTCTCCTTACCTTCTTCCAGCACAGGTCGCCTGCAGATAAGGGTCCTCTCTCCACTTTGCCAGTGTATCAAAAAGGCTATATTTTAGTTACTTTTCTCATGATTAAGACAAAATTCCTGACACCCACAAGTTAGGGGAGGAAAGGTTTAGCTCAGTTTGTAGAGGTGTCAGTCTACAGTTGGCTGGCTCCAAGGCAGGGTGGCATGGCAGAGGGGCATCGCAGAGGCGAAAGAATCCATGGCAGACAGGCAGGAGACAGCGAAACAGCAAGCAGCAACAGCCTCTCCCTTTTATCTCTTCTAGGCCACCCACCTTTTGGGTGGTGCCACCCACACCCAGGACGGACCTTCCCATTATCCATACCTAGGACTGTGCCAAACTAATCAGTGGGCTAATCCTGTGCTTTTTTTTTTTTTTGGTATGAGGGAGTGAACTCAGGACCTTGGGGTTTCGAGGCAGGCTAAATCCCCAGCCTTAATCATGTACTCTTTATCCCAGCATCATATACTGTAGATACAGCCACTTCTGAAAAGCCCCATCTATGCCCTCATGAGGTTTTGGGGTGATATCTAGATACAAGCCATAACATAGAAGGTACGTGTAGCACTTTTGGGAGGCTGAGGCAAGGGGATCGTAAGTTTGAGTCCAGCCTGGGCAACTTAGCAACTTAGACTCGGCCTCAAAATTAAAAACTAAAGGGCCGGAGGGCTGGGGATTTAGTTCAGTGGTGCTGTGCCTGCCTTGCAAGCGCAAGGCCATGAGTTTGATCCCTGGTACTGGAAAAAAGAAAAAAGGGCTGGAGATATAGCTCAGCGTGAAGGCACTGGGGTCCATTCTCAATACTGCAGAAACAAAACAGCCCAAAAACCAGGTTACTCCTGAAAAGCTGGGGTGAAGAGGCAGGCAGGAAGGTCTAGGGGTGTGCACAGTTCCCACGCCGTTTCTGAGTGCGCTTCCCCCATGCCTTGGGTGGTCCTGAGCCTGGAGGCTCCAGGTATGGCCTTCTTTATGGAGTCGTCAGGGTTGGGACAGGGACCACACGGCCTGGAGAGCCTAGGATATTGACTTTTCAGCCTTTCTCATCAATCCCCGGGTTAAAGTGATACCTAATGTAACCACAGTCCCAGACAGTGTGAGGGCTCAGGCTCCCTGGGGTGCAGCAGATAGAATTCGCGCGCTCTTTCCTTCCCTCCTCTCTCTCATGCTGTGGCTTTGAGCCCCAGTCCCTTGGATATGCTAGGCAAACACTGCCACTGAGCAACACCTGAGACCAGTTCACTGTCTTTTCCAAAGCAGGGTTATTGAGATAGAATTCACATACTAGCCTGTGATACCAGCTACTAGTTAGGCTGAGGCAGGAGGATCCTGACATCAAGACCAGCCTGGGCAATATAGCAAGATCCTATCTGCAAATGAAAAAAGAAAAGGACTGGGGATATAGCTCAGTGGTAAAGCATCCCAGGGTTCAATCTCAGGACTGTATACACACACACAAAATTTTTATATACTTTGTATTTCACCCATTTAACATAATTTAATGATCTTTTGTGATGGTCCTGCCTCAGCCTCCCAGAGTGCTGAGATTATAGGTGTATGCCATCATGCCTGGCTCTATTTAATGATCTTTAACACATTCACAAGGTTGTGTAAGCATCACCATCTAATCCCAGAACATTCTGTCATACAAACAGGAGGCCTGACCCATAGCAGTCACCCATCCCCTCCCAGCCCCGGCACCCCTGAGCCCACTTCCTGTTTCTGGGTTCTTTTGTCCTGGGCATTTCTTGTCCGTGGAGCCCACACTGTGTCTCCTGTGTCTGGCATCTCTCACTGAGCATGGCGTCTTCAGGGTCCCTCCATGCTGTGGTGAGTGTCACAGCCTTGATCCTTTTCCTGGCTGAGTGACGTCCCGGAGTCGGGTTAACGTCGCTGTGTGATGGCTCCCCTTTGGCTGTTGTAAATTATGCCACTGTAAACATTCATGTGTAAATGTTTGTGCAGATGTGTGTTGCCCTCTCTTGGGTATACATACACCTAGGAGTGTAATTGCTGGGTTCTATGGTGACCCTGCATGTAACATTTTTTGTTTGTTTCTGAAATAGTCACTTTCCTAGTCCTGGGGACACCATACCTGACACTCACAACTAAAGAAGCCCAGTTCCTTTTGGCTCACATTTGTGGTCCATAGTCTCCTGGCTGCAAGGCAGTGGGGCAAGCTGGAAGGGCCGGGGTGGAGGAAAGCTGCTGAGTGCTGGCAGCCAGGAACAGAGTGAAGGGAGGAGCAGGGCAGGAGACAGACCCTTCCAGCCACGCCCCAGTGACTGCCTCTATACCAGACCGCACTCCAGTCCAGCCACCTCCCAAAGCCCTGCTTGTGAGTGCATGAGGACTTTTGGGGGGACATCAAGATCTAAACCAGTTTGTTCTTTATTTTATTTATTTATTTTTTGTACCGGGGATTGAACTCAGGACCTTGCGCTTGCGAGGCAGGCGGCAGCACCACTGAGCTAAATCCCCGGCGCTAATCTAGTTTGTTCCTGAGACAGGCTCTCTCACTCCCCTCCCCTCCGCTTTGTCCCCTCAGTGGCCAGTTCGCCATCGTGAGGAAGTGCCGGCAGAAAGGCACAGGCAAGGGGTACGCTGCCAAGTTCATCAAGAAGCGGCGGCTGTCATCCAGCCGGCGTGGGGTGAGCCGGGAGGAGATCGAGCGCGAGGTGAGCATCCTGCGGGAGATCCGGCACCCCAACATCATCACACTGCACGATGTCTTTGAGAACAAGACAGACGTGGTGCTCATCCTTGAGCTGGTCTCGGGCGGCGAGCTCTTTGACTTTCTGGCTGAGAAGGAGTCGCTGACCGAGGATGAGGCCACGCAGTTCCTCAAGCAGATTCTGGACGGAGTCCACTACCTGCACTCCAAGCGCATCGCCCACTTCGACCTCAAGGTGAGCCAGGGGGGTGCCTGGCCCCCGAGCTGCCACCGTGTCGCTGTCCCATGGGCACGAGCTGCAGAGGTCCCCTCCATCCCCCCACAGCCAGAGAACATCATGCTTCTGGACAAGAATGTGCCCAGCCCACGCATCAAGCTCATCGACTTTGGCATCGCCCACAAGATTGAGGCGGGCAATGAGTTCAAGAACATCTTCGGCACCCCCGAGTTTGTGGGTGAGGCCGTGGTTGTGGGTGGGGACTGCTGAGCTCGGGGCTCGGGCCGCTCCGTCCTGCCCTCTGGCATCGAGGGGACGTGGTTGGGGCTGTCACTGCCTGGCCCCCCTGCCCATCGGGAGCTGGATCTCAGCCCGTGTCTCCCTGTCCCCACAGCTCCTGAGATCGTCAACTATGAGCCACTGGGCCTGGAGGCGGACATGTGGTGAGTCCCCGAGTCCCCAGCACAGCACTGAGCTGCTGCTGGTGGCCAGGGTCTCTGCTTCCCCAGCAGGGTGTCTTTGCCGTGGCTGGTGCTGACCCCCCTTGTGTTTCCCTAGGAGCATCGGTGTCATCACCTACATCCTGTGAGTACCTGGAGGGCCCAGGGTGTCCGGATGTTCCGGGATTCAGGGTCCCCAGCTCAGACTCAGTGGACACCGGAGGGACGAGCGAGGGAAGCAGCGGGTGACTGGTTGCTGCCACAAGGGCTTCTGGAAAGTGACCCTGCCCTGTGACGTGGCCGGTGTAGCCATGGGTGAGGGAGGGGCCGAGTCCTCATCTTCCCCAGGGCCATTGTTCCTTGGCTCTCCCAGGCTGGGCCTGTGGTTTGTCCCCTCCCTCCAGTGGTGGGCACAGCGGTCAGACCGCATGGCCTGGGCAGATGGGTTCAGGCAGTTTGTGGGTTTTTCCCAATTCTAATGTAATCTGGGGCTTAGGGAAGAGCTGGGAGCAGTCCCGACCTCATTTTCTCTTTCACCTGTCCCCGCCTGTTACTGTCTCCTGCCAGTGCAGTCTGGGGCGACACCAAGATGTCCTCCCCAGTGCTGCCCTTGGAGCCCAGCACACACGGCCAGGTGGCCCCTGCTCCCTGCCGGCGTCCTCCTCCCAGCCCCAACCCCACCTGGCACCTCTGACGTTTGGTGCCTCAGTCCTTGTCCCCAGTGACCTTGGCTCAAGGGTGCTCTCGGGCTTTTTGTAGCACGTCCCCAGCTGGGACTCTCTTGATGTCCCCTCGGCGTCACCCAGGGTCCCATGGTTTGGCACTGCATCCTCCCGGCATAGTAGGTGGGCAGGGTCGTGATGGGAAATGCTGAGCCTGTCCCCGGCTGCTCTGGAAAGTGGCCATCTTTCTGACTGTGGTTACTGAGTGCCCTGGGGAGATGCTTGGGACTGCCTGGCCCTCGATCCGAGTTCCGCAGGGAGCCCCTTGGGGACGGCACTGGTCTCTGATGCCTCCCTGTCGGTAGCTGGGGCCCCTGGGGAGGTGCAGGGGTGACCCTGGGGCCCCACCAGCCCGTCCTCTGCATGGCGCATCATAGACGCAGTGGGGCTGGGGGTGGCCAGGGTGTGAGGAGGGGCAGTGGGGACCGCCCTGACCACGTTGCGTCTGTCCTGCAGTCTCAGCGGGGCGTCCCCGTTCCTGGGCGAGACCAAGCAGGAGACGCTGACTAACATCTCGGCTGTGAACTACGACTTCGATGAGGAGTACTTCAGCAGCACCAGCGAGCTGGCCAAGGACTTCATCCGGCGCCTGCTGGTCAAGGACCCCAAGTATGGGGGATGCGGGGCGGGGTGGGGGGTGTCAACCACCCAGGCTGGGAGCTGGAGGCTGGCTTGGCTTCTACTTTTTGGTTTTTTTGGTCCTGGGGATCAAACTCAGGACCTTGTGCTTGTGAGGCAGGCAGCGAAACCGCTGAGCTAAATCCCTGGCCTTGGCTTCTATTTTTTTTTTTGGTACTGGGGATCGAACTCGGAACCTTGCGCTTTCGAGGCAGGGCCCGGACCCACTGAGCTAAATCCCCAGCCCTTCTTGGCTTCTACTTTTGACCAGAGATGACAAACTGGGAGCTGTGGTTGTTCACCCCATATGTATATATTATTTTTTTCCTGATACTAAGAATGAACTCAGGGCTTTCGCACCAAGCTATATCCCCAGTCCTTTTTTAAAAATTTTGAATTTTGAGACAGGGCCTCATAGGCTGGGCTCAAACTTTCGATCTTCCTGCTTCAGCCTCCCTGAGTGTTGGGATGACAGGTGTGTGCCACCACACCCAGATCCGTACCATGTTTTCAAAAAACTTAAATCTGTTGCCAGCGTTTCAGATAGATTTCGAGTAGAATTCCAGATGACTGCTTTTTCCTAGTACCTAGGACCCGGCCACATGGAGCCCTGACCCCCTTTTCTTGTGCTACTGGCCTGCCTGGCCCCACCCTGCCTGGGGTACCTGAGTGTGGGGCCCACCTGAGGCCTCAGCTCTGCTAACCAAAGCCCAAGAGCACTGAGACCTGAGTCCCATAGGCCCTGGGAAGGAAACGGCCACTCCTGGGTGGCCAAGCCGAGACTGGGAGCAACTTTGGGTGTCAGGCTCCTAGGGTCACACATGCAGGGGTCTGCTCAGGGTGGGAGCTGAGGAGCCGGCTTGCAGTGGGGATGCCCTGGATCCCCTAGCCTCGCTCACCACCTCAGGGACCACGTAGGGGCCCACAGGTGACTCACAGGGTTGGGCTCTTCCAGGAGGAGAATGACCATCGCCCAGAGCCTGGAGCATTCCTGGATCAAGGTGAGGGCCGGGCAGCCAGGGGCGACTGTCCCACTGCCTCTGCCTGCCCAGGATGGGGGTGGGGTGCCCTCACCCTGCACGGGGGCGGCATGACAAGCCCTCAGTGTGGAGAGGGTGCCCAGGGGAGTGGCCCGTGCAGTGGGCTCTCGCAGGGCCACTGTGAACACTCTAGGAAGATGCCATTTGCCGAGCAGGCCTGGCTGTGGCCTGTGCCAGATATCCCTCATGTCCCCGGTGTCTCCACAGGCCATCCGGCGGCGGAACGTGCGCAGCGAGGACAGCGGGCGGAAGCCGGAGCGGCGGCGCCTGAAGACCACGCGGCTGAAGGAGTACACCATCAAGTCGCATTCCAGCATGCCGCCCAACAACAGCTACGCCAGCTTTGAGCGCTTCTCCCGCGTGCTGGAGGAGGTGGCGGCGGCTGAGGAGGGCCTGCGCGAGCTGGAGCGCAGTCGGCGGCTGTGCCGCGAGGATGTGGAGGCGCTGGCAGCCATCTACGAGGAGAAGGAGGCCTGGTACACGGAGGAGCGCGACAGCATCGGCCAGGACCTGCGGCGGCTGCGTCAGGAGCTGCACAAGACCGAGGCTCTGCAGCGGCAGGCGCAGGAGGAAGCCAAGGGCACACTGCTGGGTGCCAGCGGGCTCAAGCGCCGCTTCAGCCGTCTAGAGAACCGCTACGAGGCGCTGGCCAAGCAGGTGGCGTCGGAGATGCGCTTTGTGCAGGAGCTGGTGCGGGCGCTGGAGCAGGAGCGGCTGCAGGGTGGGGAGTGCGGCCTGCGCTAGGGACAGAGACCAGGCACAGCTGGGCTGGGAGCCTTGGCCAGCAGGCCGACAGCCTCTGTGTGAGCCAGGGCCTCCCTGGAGGACGCTCCAGTCTGGGAGTGAAGGGGGCACTGGCAAACTCCGGTCTCTGTCTCCTGAGTCCCAAGGAGCTGCGCGGTGCTGGGGGAAGGGGGGCCCAGGGGCCTGGGTGTGGGGTGAAGAGCTACTGCCACTCCTAGGCCCCCAGAAGTGTCTGAGGAGCCCCTGCAGTGACCTTAGCCATGCCCAGGTGGCGTTTTCCGATGGCGTCCTCATCCTCAGCCCTGCAGTGGCTGCCAGCCCTCCTCTAGGGTGGCCTTGTCCACACTATGCCACTGCTATTTCCTGTGTGGCCCGGGGGCTGTGAGAAGTGGCAGTTTGTGCCTTGCTCCAGAGGACCAGAATGGAAGCACCCACCCGCCTGCTAGGTCCTGACACCCTCTGGGATGTGCTGCCCTGGACTAAGGGTCTGGTCAGACAGGAGGGACAGTTTCCAGCCCCGGGCCCAGAGTCTTCACCTGAAGCCAAGCTCAGCCCCTATGTGGCCTAGGCCTGTCCATGGGTGTGGGAACTGCCACATCCCCCGGGCACTGCTGTAACCTGCTAGGCTCTGCACGCCCTCGTGACAGTGTGCTTGTTGGAAGCCACGGGGAATAAAATCACCTTCCCTGATAGCGGCTGTCTGTGGTCCTGGCCCCCAGGGAATGGCCAGCCCTCCACACCAGGCCTATGGCCTCTAAGACTGCATGCACATCATTTCCTGTCTGCCACCTGCCTCCACTCCACTCAGGAAGACAGCCTGTGACTGTCCCCACACTATATCCCCCACACGTGGGCCCTGCAAGGTGGAAGGGGAAGGCCTGGCCTAGAGACACCTGCAGATCCCCCGCAACCACACAGGCACCAGGGGCCTGCAGCCGTGCAGTCCCCAGGACAGCCCCTCCGGCCCTCACTGCTTACAAGCCAAGGTTCTGAGCCCTCGCTGGTCCTGGTCATGGTTCTGGCCTCATTCTACCATTAGGGCAAGTGTCGCCCTTTACTTTTTTTTTGTTTTGGTACTAGCGATCGAACTCAGGACCTGCACTTGCCAAGCAGGTGTGGCGCCTCTGAGCTACATCCCTGGCCCCACCCTTTACTTTTTAATTTTTATTGGTACATGTTTGCAGAGCATGCTTACATTCTTCATGGGGAATTGTTATATGGGCATAATACATACCAATTCTTTTTAAACCCTCCATCTCTGGGTATCCTCATTTGTGAAAGCTCTACCTCCTGAATACAGAGAGCTTAGGAAACACAAGGTTTTTTTTGCCCCCAGTGCTGGGGATTGAACCCAGGGCCTTGTGCATGCTGGGCAAGCACTTCACCACTGAGTTGCATTTTCATTCCATCCCTTCACACATTTCTTTCCTTGAGATAATTCAGATCATAAAATTCACCTTGAGGTCCATCCCCACACCAAGACACCACTCAGCTAGGAAAAGAGCAAGGCTGTGACACTACAATGTGGACAGACCTTGAGGATGCCGTGCTCAGTGAGAGACACCAGACACAGAGGACACAGTGTGGGCTCCAGGACAGGCGACTCCAGAGACGGGAAGTGAACTCAGGGATTCTGGGGGCTAGGAGGGGACAGGGCTTGCTTTTGGGTAGGTATTGAATGTTCTTGGACTAGAAGTAATAGTCACACGGCAACGTGAAGTAATACCACTAAATTATACACATAAAAAAGGTTAGAAGATAGAACTTAGATGTTTTACTACAATCAAGGCAAGAGGAACTCAAGTTCAAGCCCAGCCTGGGCAACATAGCAAGGCCCTGTCTCCCTGGGGAGGACCAGGGATTTAGCTCAGTGGTACCTCACCTGCCTGGCAAGCACAAGATCCTGAGTTTGATCACCAGTACCAAAAATAAAAAAGGGCTCGGGATGGAGCTCCCTACGAAGACCCTGGGTTCAATTTCCAGTATAAACAAAAAATCCCAAATCCATTAGCACCGCAGGTAGCCACTAGGTGGCAGCAAGGAGCCAGCTCCCAGGTCTCCAGTGCCACAGCTGGGGCCACCCAGGGTGGTCTGGCCACCCATTAGGGTATGTGCCTCTGGCTCACACACCTGTGCTCCCAGTAGGATGCTTCACAGCAGGCCAAAAATGGAAATGACCCAGTATCCACTCGGAGGGGAACAGAAAGGGGGTCTGTCTACATTCTGGAGCACAATGCAGCCAGGAAAAACGTCCTGGGAGCACTACAGCCTGGATAGACCTTGAGGCCATGGTGCTCAGAGAACTGAATCAGACACAGAAGGACACACACTCCAGGGTTCCACTCCCATGAGGTCCTTAGCATCATCAGATCGAGACAGGAAGGCCTTGTTCAATTCCTAGTACTACAATAAGTAAGGAAGGCAGGCAGGTGCAGGGGTCTGTGTTACAAGGAGCAACGTGAGCCCCGGTTCCCTCCCTGGCCCAAGGCCTCCAGCTGGGGACCCTCCCCTGGCTTCCGAGGAGCAGGGATGTGGGCAGTGGCAGGTGGCGGGCTGAGGCCCTGTCTCGGCAGCACACGGGCGGAGCAGGTGCAGGCCCACCTGGGCACCATGTCCCTCCTGGGCATCGGTGGGAGCCCTGTGAAGCTGGAGCTGCAGCGGGTGATGCTCCATCCACGCTACAACCCGGGCACCCTGGACTTCGACGTGGCTGTGCTGGAGCTGGCCAGGCCCCTGGTCTTTAGCAAGTACATCCAGCCCGTCTGCCTCCCGCTGGCCATCCAGAAGTTCCCAGTGGGCTGCAAGTGCATGACCTCGGGCTGGGGCAACACACAGGAAGGGAATGGTGAGCAGCCCCCACAACTGAAAGGACGGCTTTATTCTGCAGGGCTTGGGCCGGGGAGGAGGGGATGGGCTGCCTTCCCTGAGCCCCAGACCAGCCCCATTGCCTAGGGGTCTCTGTGTTGACCCACCCACAGGCTGTGAACCATTCGCCTCTTAGGCCAGGGGGCCACAGGTGGCCTGCTCCTGTTTGTTTAAATAAAGTTTTATTGGCACATGGCCCACACACATTCATTGACAGATTGTCCATGGCTGCTTTCCTGTCCTGGTTGAGTAGTGGGGAAAGTGACTGTCTGGCTCATAAAACTGAACATATTTATGGAAAGAGCTTGCTGACCCTGCACTACACCATTCAGAGACGCTGAGACAGGGGTCAGTGGTCCTGTGGAGGGCCCAGAATGGCTTGGTACAGGTTACAGGGACAGAGAGGAGACTTCAAGTTGCTATGCTGGGACTCTGGCATCTGCCTCCTCCTTGTTGAGGCTGCGGGCCTGTGTGCGTGCATCTGCAGGGGAGGGATGGCACCTCCTCTCAGGACGATCAGCACTGAGCTGGCACCATGGTCACTCACTAAGAGCCAGTTGGCTCCCTCCTCTCCTGGCACCCACCAAGCCTGATGTTCTGCAGAGGGCGTCCGTGGGCATCGTGGACCAGAAAACCTGCAGGGTGCTCTACAACTTCTCACTCACCGACCGCATGCTGTGCGCTGGCTTCCTGGAGGGCAGGGTGGACTCTTGCCAGGTGGGCAACACTGGGGAGGCGGGCAGGGTGTGGAAACTGGAGGGGGTCCTTCCAGGGGTCTCATCATCACGGGGTTTGGGGGTGAGCTCAGTGGTGAGCACTTGCCAAACATGTGCAAGGCCCTGGCCTCCAAGCCCAGCACAAGAAAGAGAGAGGAGAGGAGGGAGACGGAGGGAAAAGCTTAGCAATGAATAATGAAAAATTTTTCCAGCACTGGGGATTGACCTACAACCCCAGCCCTTTATATTTTTTTGAGATAGGGTCTTGCTAAGTCGGTAAGTTGCCAGGCTGGGCTCGAAGTTACGATCTTTAGGTCTCAGGCTCCCCGAGTGCTGAGATAACTGCCGTAAGGCATTACACCCACCTTCAGTGCCTGTTTTTGGAAAGTTTTATGGGCACCCCACTATGAATATTCATTTAACTTACAGTAGCTTTTCCACTATGATAACAGACTAAGGACTAAAGCAACAGCCTGGTATTCCCCGGCTCAATCCTTGGGCTTGCTGATAACATGCTCCAGGCCGTTCAGATTGCTACACTGCACAGGATAACGGCCCAGGCACGGGCAAAATCCTCGCTGTGCCTTTCCGACAACCTGTGCACGCCTAGAACCTGCACCCCGCCGTTAGCCCGCGGACATGGGTCAAGACCCTCTCAATCCCCCAAACCCAGATCCCCAAGAGATCTCACCTGTTCCGAATTGTTCAGGAAGGCCCCCAGCTTCCCAATGCACTTCCGGAAGAACTCGACCTCTGTGGACACTCAGCCACGCCGCCTAACCCTTTTTCCGACGCACCCCGCACTCGCAGCACCTCCTGCGCCCTGGCCGTGGTAAATCTGTACTTGCACCTGCTTCATGATTAGCCCTGGGTTCAATTTCCCGCCGCCGAAGCTACTCTTCCTGGCTCCACAGTCGACCCTGCCGTGGCCACGCGCATCCAATCAGCAGCAGTCAGAAGATGGGTCGCCTGGAGCACCCTTGGAAGCGTAATCAGTGTTACTAAGGCCCCGCAGCTGCGTAGGAAGCCGGGTGTCCCAGGAATCATGGGAAACAGAGTCCAGAGTATAATACCCACAAGGCCGCGCGGGGCTCCTTGCGCAAGCGCAGATACCTCAGTTCCAACTTGAGAAAGGCTTTTGGCATCTAGACCCCCAAACCGGGCTCGAGGCTGCGCATGCGCACGCGGGACCGAGGAGTTTGCACAGCCATTCCCTGACTTGTGAAGGGAACGGGCGGGTGCCAGGAGTACTCATGACTTCATGAGTCCCGGAGTTCCCGGAGCAACTAGGAAGCAGCGATTAAAATCAAAGTGTTTATTGGAGTGTTGTACAAAAGTTTCCAGTCAAAATGTATATTACAAATCGAGGGGGG